CAAAGTTTCAGAACTCTTGGATAGACTATCTCCGAGATATGAATCTGCCAAAATATCTATGTGAAACATTACATGCATAAAAAAGCCGCTTTATGCTAACATACTAATTAGTATCTCGGAGATAGTCTAACCAAGAGTTCTGAAACTTTGTAGGCAAGCTTGTCTGATTGGGGCCTTGGTGTGGACAAAGTTTCAGACCTAAATTCAAAATTTTGATTTTATCGGACAAGTAGGATCATATAGGAAAATAATGGTAAATAGTCGATATCTCAGTCAAATCCCAACTTGGGCCCATATCCTTTTAGGCTTTTTCTAGTCTATTCATCCCCTACTTGTGGGCATAATTTCAGCTCAAAAGCTTTTTGACACCTCGGGTGGTTCCCTCGCCAGATATAAGTTTTAATTTATATTTTATATGATTTCAAAGTTTTCTTAAAGTCTTTTGAAGTTTGAAGAAGTTTATTTATATCTTGCAAAATTCTACGAAATATTTTTTATTCCAATGAAGTTCTCTGTAGTTTCATGAAATGTTTAGAAAACTTCTAGAATCAAATAAAAGGACTTGATCAATAAAACATTAATTATTCTTCATTTTGAAAACATTATAAAATGAAAACTTATACTTAATAGTATTTAGATGAAAACTAAACTTATTTGATGTCCAAGGAAAATCATCTGGTCTCCAAAGACGTAATATTTGTAAATAAGGCATATAAGTATTGAGAAAAGGTACAAGATGTTTGCCAAAATGAGCTGAACTATCTGCACCAATATTACAACTTGAAATACCAAATTCAACGTATCGAATACTATTTAATGCATTCTCTGTCAAGTCAGGAAAACTCTACAAATGATATGAGAGAATTATTTTATTTAATTATATAAAGTTTCTTCAGCAATCAACTTTATTTTAATTCAATTTCATTTTATTTACATTATTTTAAATAAATATATGTTTAATTTAGAGTTTAGTGAATTAATTAATTTGTAAAATGCAATCGAATTTGCTTTATATTTTCTAATAATCTCATGCAAGATAGTAGTGTGTAGATACCAAACACGAAATTATACACGGAGATGCTGAAAAACTGTTGAGGTACTGAGATGCTGGATACTCATAGAGTTTTGAAAAATAATAAAATAGAAAATTGATGTTAGAATTAGAGAAGACTCATATTATTCTGAATCGATATTTTCGATGAAGACAAGTCTATTTCGAGAAAATAAAGACTTTTTGTAAGACTTGACTTCATGTTTTCGATCGTCAAGGAATCTGAATCTCTAATCGATTTTTTGAAATTTCTGCGTTCGATTTATTCGGTTATGAAAGTCTATTTCCTATGTTTTATTCATGTTTCATAACATTCAGGCGAGTTTTTTTTTTGCCTTAGACCTCTCCTGATCGAAAAAATCGAATTTAAGAATTTCAAAAACCCGATTACAGATTCGTACTTTTCCATCTCAACAATTTTTAGTTAAGTTTTATAAAAAAAAAAAAATCGTTATTTTCGAAAAATAGCTTTATTTTCAATGAAGAAAAATCAAGTTGAAACATTATGATTCTCACTCATAGCTATCATCTTAATTTTCAGTCTAATGCCAAATATATAAGAACACCTCATCACCTGCACTTATCAAATATGCTGAAATGTTGAAACCTCTAAATCTGCAATTTTTCTTTTGATCTTATGAATCATTAGATTTATTTCTTATTTGATATTATTATATGATTCGAAAAAAATCTAATTGAAAAAAAAAATTTTATGATAATAATTTAATGTAAAGAAAATCTAAGAACACAAATATTCGTGCATATTTAGTTAATAGTTGAAAAATTCTAACAAACAAAATAAAAAGATTTTCAAATATTTAATCATCTATTTGACAATTATAAATTTGAAAAGTTTAAATCAAATCAAAACTTACACATTGAATAACATATAAAAGCCATTCAAATTTTTGAACAAAAATATATTTAAGTTGAACAGATATTGAAATAAGAAGAGTGAGTACTATAAGACGTTGTCTATCTTGATATGGGATCCGGACATTTGGTCGACGGACAGTTGCGTGCGGGCAGTTGGTTGCAGGACAGTTGGCCGCATGGACAGTTGGTCGCATAGCATAAATAAGAGGAATATGAAGTACAAAAACAATTGAACATTATTTATTATTTTATAAATTATTAAACAGAGAACATTAGATATAAATCCTAACAANAGCCCCGAGCCTAGGCTCGGTCGGGCTCGGTTTGTAAAATTCCTATAAAAACCGAAGGCATTATTGCACAGAGCTTAGATATGTCTCATTTTGTAGAACGATGTTTGGTCTATCTTTTGATAGGTTAGACCTCATGATTCAGTCTTTCATTTCAGAGCTCAAGATGTTAATATAAAAGTGTTCGAAAGTAATGAAAAAAAGCTCGGTACATGCCTAGTTTGAAGAATAAACCAAACGAATCAAAGAAAAACTATTAATGTTTCTGTTATTAATATAATTGTCGATTAAAGATTCTGTTATATATATATATGAAATTTATTCAGAGAAAGTCTTTTTATTGAATGAATATGAATTTTGTTTTTATTTTTTATTTTTTTTCAAAAAGAAAAACAAAAAGTCTTGATGAAATTAATCATTAAAGAAAAAAAAAGAGAATTATAATAATTTTTTTTATCATACAGTTATATAATATCATATTATAGATAATAATTAAATCCAAAGTGAAAATCTTGATGTTTGAATATAAATTCGACTATTTGGAAAACGTTTTTGAACCATTGAATGATAAGGTTCAACTTTATCATAATCAATATTACCATAAATATCAAGATAAACAAATTCTTTTAATTGTTCGACTAATTGACATAGATCTTGTTCAAAAACAATAACGTGTTCATCTAAATAACAATAAGTTTTATTAAATTGATTTTATTCTTCTAAAAATAAAAATATATTCGAATTTCATACTAAGAGATTCAGGTGTACGTAGAGTTCGTCTCCATCGTGCCGTTAAATTTCTATATAATTTTTCAGATTCCATGTGTGGTCGAACTTGAAGAAATAAAACAAAAAAAGTGAATAAATATTAAAGAAATGTTTTGTTTATCTTTTTTTATAAAATCTTTCAAAAGAAATAATTTTATTTAATAAAAATTTTTAAATGAAATAAAAGTCATTTGATACATTTTCATTATTATTTTTAATAAGTTCAAGCCATCACAAAAAAAAAGAAAATAAAAGTTTTATATATATATATATTAGATTTTATTTTTCATACATTATTGTCAAATACTCTTATACAACTCATTGGTAATCAAAATAATAGAAAATATCAATATAATGAAGTGATTGTACTATCAATTATAGATAACGTTGATTTTAATATTTAATTGAGCTTTTGACTTCACCGACTCATCATTAGTATTAAATTATATTGATTTAGCAATTTGTTTTATATTGCCTATGTACACTTCAATAAAATTAACATAATCTATAATTAATAGTATAATAACTTCATTCTATTGATATCTTCCATTATTTTGATTATAATTACAAATCTAATGAGTTTTTCAATTTTGATTAAATTCATTTGTTATCATCCGATGAAAATAATCAATAAAAATTTAATCTAAAATTTTGTTTCTTCTCGTCTATACAATAGTAATCAGAATCTAAATTTAATAGATACATATCAAAAGTCTAAAAGTATCATTCTATTTTAACAATTAAGACTCAACATCACTTAATATATGATCTCTTCATCTTCCTTATACTCTGTCACTTTCAGAATGACTAAAAAATAGTTTTGTAAAAAAAATAATTATTAGATGAAACATGAATAGAAAGAAAGAAAGAAAGAAATACATATCCGAAGTAAAGAAATAAATAAAGTAGAATATTTCTGTAATGATTATACATCTTTGATGATGAATTTATGACAAGAAAGAAACCGTAAACTGCAATTCTAAACTCTCAAGAAATTTTCTAAAACTTTTCGAATACATTTAGGTCATAAAAATTTTTCTACAAAATTGAATGATTTAGATACTGTTTAAGTTATTTTAAAACAGTATATCATAAAAATAATTTCTTATAAAATTACATGAGAATTCTCAGATTCAACGATCTTTATGATATTTATCATTGTAATTGCTTGTTTTCAATGATCTTATTTTAGCAGAAATCTTGTGAACTTTTATTGTCTTGCTAATTAATATATTACAAAAAAAAATTTTAAGTTCATGTTAACTCAAAAATGTCATATTGTTAGTTGAAAATTCAATGATTTCTTAATGAAATTGTTTATTTCTGTAGAAAAGTATTCCGTTAACTTAGCATCAATTGTAAAATGAATATTAAGGAGTCCGCTCAAAAATCAAACTTCGGCATAATGCATCGCATTTTCATGAAACTTTCTGTAGATGTTTGGTCCATGGAAGTACACTCATAAAAAAATTTCACGCCTTTAAACCTTACCATTCAGGAGATTTTTAGAAAACAAGGAGCAAAATAGGGCTCTTACGCGTACAAACTTTTTTTTAGTATACTTCAGGCTACAAAGCTCGGGCTACTTTCATTTGAAAGAGAACTCTTTTCTGCTTGGGATGAGCGAAAAGGATTTTTCTAGTTTTTATTTTCTTCCATGTTGGGTTCCTCAAAACCTCAAAAATTTGAAAATTGTAGATAAAGTTTTCTAGAAAACTCGGAATTTCTCTAAAGCCATTGACACATTAGAAGACCTCCCCATATTAGAAGACTTCCCTCCAATAAGCGATGCAAAAGACACATTAGAAGATCCCCTCAGAAAATTGACCTTTTAAAATCATTGTGTGCAATTTATCGAGATATTTTAGCTTTTATGCACATATCAATATCTAAATTCAGTATGAACAATATTTTGCTGCCGTCGTCATAGCGATGTATTAATTTCAAACTGGACATATCAGGAGAGAAACGTAATAAGAAAGAATACTTAAGTAGAAAATACATATATTTACGAAAAAAGTGTCTTGTAGTCACTTTACTGCTCCTTTGCATCATGTTCTGAAGAAACTTTCTCGCTTTTGTAATAGAAAAAACTCGTCCCCACGGTTATAGGATCTAATGAACATGACATTTATATAAAAGTGTCACACATGAAAAATCTCCCTGAAATAAGAACATGTTGAGTAAAATCGTGTTGTCTATTAACTCAGATCTCGCTCTATCTGTACAGATTATTATCATAGAAAAGATCATTCATAATTACAAAAAAAAATACCTTTGAGGAGATGCATTGAGCTGTGTTCTATGGAATACGACTTCTATTTATGGATAGTTTTCTTGTCACAAAAAGATGCAAAAGTATTGTTCGAAATAGTCATAAAGAATCGTAAACACACTGTCGACGTGTATTCAACGGCTCATTTCTATAAACTGTTTCTCAGTGAACAACCATATTTATTTAAATTGTCGGTGAAATAATAACTCAGATTGCAGTACACTTTACTTTGAACGTATTATCTGCACTAATCAAACCTCAACCTAAGCAAAAAGAAAATAATGCTTTTACAAATCGTACTAAGGTTTTATGATTTGTTGTCTGTATTGCTTTGAGAACACTCTCCTTATCAAGAATTGCTTTTTTGCAATGAAATCTTATCTCTTTCTTTTCCTTTGTATGAGTGTCGGTGATGTAGAATAATCTCATTGACTTATGGTATATTGGACAAAAAAAAAGCATTAAAATGAGAAACAGTCGTTGATATTACCACAAAATATGACTTTTTTTAGGGACATAATAGAAAATCCCCCTTTTCACTTGTGAACGATAAGACAGAATAGAAGACCCCGGGTCTTGTAATGCGTTCATGGCTTTAATAATGAGGACTAAATAAAAAAATTCATTTTCCTCATTCGAAGGAGTATTCATGTATCTATCGATTAAAAAAACCGCAGATCGCTAGAGTGAAGTATATTGAAAAAAAGTTTGTCGGGAGTTCGATCATAAATGTAAAATCGGTTTGGAGAAAAACCCCAAAACTTTTTTTCAGCATTTTATTTACTTATCATTTGAAAACACCACAAAGTACGACCATATCATATATCGATCGCTAAAACGAATCACGGTGCGTTGGGTTGTGTGCCTAAGAACACATGCAGCTAATGGCAAATAAAGTTGTCCACGTTTTTCGTCGGTTTTTACCGAGATTCGTTCAAGAATATCACTATAGAGGATTCCAGAAAAATTTTAGTGGATTTCTTCGAAACCTTTCGAAATTAAAAATTCTTTTATGGATATTTAAAGTAGATACCTTAGGTGACATCTACGTATGCTTATCTTAAAAATCAACTTTTTTACAAAAACCGAATTTTCCGGGGGGGCTCCTTAATTAATTTTATTTGTTTTTATCTCTCAAAAACAGTTTATCAGCTAATAATCGACTAGCTTCGTCTATTGATAATCAACAACCTGTTTACTCAAATATAATTTTTAATTTATATTTTATATGATTTCAAAGTTTTCTTAAAGTCTTTTGAAGTTTGAAGAAGTTTCCTGATATCTTGCAGAATTCCACGAAATATTTTTAATTCGAATGAAGTTCTCTGTAGTTTCATGAATTGTTTAGAAATCTTCTAAAATCAAATAAAAGAACTTGATCAATAAAACATCAATTCTTTTTCATTTTGATAACATTATAAAATGAAAAATTATTTTTAATAATATTTAAATGAAAACTAAACATTACTTGATGTCCAAGGGAAATCATCTGGTCTCCAAAGACGTAATGTTTGTAAATAAGGCATATAAGTATTGAGAAAGGGTACAAGATGTTTGCCAATATGAGTTGAACTATCTGCACCAATATTACAACTTGAAATACCAAATTCAGCATATTGAATACTATTTAATGCATTATTTGTCAAGTGATGAAAACGCTAGAAATAATATGAGAAAATTATTTAATTTAATTATATATATAATTTCTTCAGCAAGCAACTTTATTTTAATTCAATTTCATTTTATTTACATTATTTTAAATAAATATGTTTAATTTAGAGTTTAGTGAATTAATTAATTTGTAAAATGAAATCGAATTCGATTTATATATTCTAATCATTTCATGCACGATAGTAGTGTGTAGATAGCAAACATCAAATCATACACGAAGATGCTGAAAAACTGCTGCTGAGGTTCTGAGATGTTGGATATTCATAGATTTTTGAAAAATAATAAAATGTTATAATTAGAGAAGACTTATATTATTCTGAATCGATGTTTTTGATGATGACAAGGCTATTTCGAGATGATCAAGAAATCTAAATCTCTAATCGATTTTTCGAAATTTCTGAGTTCGATTTATTCGATTATGAAAGTCTACTTCCTGTAGTTTATTCATGTTTCATAACATTCAGGTGGGTTCTTTTGCATTAGACCTCTCCTGATCCAAAAAATCGAATTCAAGAATTTCAAAAACCCGATTTAAGATTCGTACTTTTCCATCTCAACAATCTTTAGTTAAGTTTTATAAAAAAAAAAAAAAACTCGTTATTTTCGAAAAAATAGCTTTATTTTCAATGAAAAATATCGAATTGAAACATTATGATTCTCACTCATAGCTATTATCGTAATTTTCAATCTAATGTGAAATATATAAGAGCACCTCATTATTCAAAGATGCTGAGATGTTGAAAGCTCTAACTCTGCAATTTTTCTCTTGATCTTATGAGTTATTAGATTTATTTCTTATTTGATATTATTATATGATTCGAAAAAAAATCTATTTGAAAAAAATTTTATGATAATAATTTGATGTAAAAATTTAAGAACACAAATATTCGTGAACATTTAGTTGTAGTTGAAAAATTGTAACAAAACAAAATAATAAGATTTTCAAATATTTAATGATCTACTTAATAATTGTATATATATAAAGTTTAAATCAAATCAAAACTTACACATTGAATAACAAATAAAAGCCATTCAAATTTTTGAACAAAAATATATTTAAGTCGAACAGGTATTGAAATAAGAAGAGCAAGTATTCTGAGATATTCTTTATCTTGATATGTCCATTCTATAAAAGGACCTAGAAAAGAAAATCCTCTTTAAATTCTTATTTATGATAAGAATATATTATTTTAAATATCAATATAAATAAGGATTGATAGTTCTACAATGAAGGAAAAAATAAGACTTAATTTATATTTTCAACGATGCTTTGAGTGAACAATTACGTTACTAAATAAAAGTAACTGATCATTTTCAATTATAATTCACTTATAGTTGAAAATAAAATATAACTGTTTTTCTTTTTTGGTCAAATTTGACAAAAGTATATTTTTGTAAAATGGAATTTTAATGGACTAATAAAAAATACAGAAGAAATTATATTATTCTACATTCGCTACTTTCTATCTTGTCACTCTCTCTCTCTCTCTCTCTTCTTTTATAGATCATAATAGACATTTTTACAACATCATCTCTTTTCTGTCTTCATAAATGGCAATATGTCTATAAAATGAAATTCTACAATAGGAATGCATCAATTACATGACAAAAACTGAAATTAAAATTAATGAATCACTCCTCTAAAACATAATTTCAATAATATATTAATATATTTTATAAAAATAAAGGTTTTTCTATCATATTCTTAAAGTATCTATTGCGATTGTTGAGATTTGAATAAGAATTAAAATTAATGGTGACGCCAAGGGAAGGTCAGAGGGGGCTAAGCCCTCCCAGAATATGTCTGACTGCCCTCCTCCCCCAGATTTCTTTTAAAGTCCTTGAAAACATGGTCATCTTATCTGCTTATGATGCCACAACATATTAGTTGCTGCACTGCAGAGCAATATTTGTAATGGGATACTAAAACAAGATGTACAATACACTTTATTTTGATACCGATAAAGTACACATATATAGTGGGGGACACATGTTTAGAGCACCTTTTATTTTATGAATTATTTTGCTCAAAATGATTTGTTGAAGACATTCAAATAGTGATTTGAATAGCCAATGAAGAGCTCTATCTAACACATTATATACCACGATTTCATCGATAGATTATGACGGCAAAGTTTCTAAAAAACTGAAAACCGTATTTTTCAGGTTCTTGAAGACTTTGTGGAAGTTGCTTTTTGATAATTTGTTTTTTGATAATGCCATCTTAAAGAGCGTAAAATTTTGAACAAAACGATGGATCGCTACGTTTCTTACGACCTTCCCTTGACAAGTTACAGGTATCAAAAAACACGAAAGAAAGTAAATTTTATCAAAAACTCGCTGAAAATTGACTAAAAAATGCGTTTTTTCGTGTTTTGTGACACCTGTAACTTCTCAAGGGAAGGTCGTAAAAAACATGGCGATCCATCATTTTGTTTAAAATTTTACGCTCTTTAAGAGGGCATTATCAAAAAACTAATTATCAAAAAACAACTTCCACAAAGTCTTCAAGAACCTAAAAAAATACGGTTTTGAGTTTTTTAGAAACTTTGCCACCATAATCTATCGATGAAATCCTGGTATACAATGTGTTAGATAGAACTATTCATTGGCTATTCAAATCACTATTTGAATGTCTTCAACAAATCATTTTGAGCAAAATAATTCATGGAATGTAAAAAAATGAGAATACTTCCTATTCCCAAAAGTTACACATTCCTGCATCGCCTTCTGACATGCAATCCCTTACCATCAATTCCGGAAAAGCAAAAACGACCCTTTCCCCCAAAAACAAGCAACAACCCGGAATTCCGGAATTTCTGCATATGCGGAATCACTAGGACATGCAGGAATTCTGGGCCATTCCTGCCTATTCCCGAATTCCAAACATGTCATGAATGGCTAAATGATCATTCCTCGAGCTTGAAGAAATGGAAAGCGGAATTCCGGAATTTGTGCACAACCGTAATCATTGGGATATGCAGGAATTCCGGGTCATTCCGGCCTATTCCGGGTCATTCCGGCCTATTCCGGGTCATTCCTGCTTATTCCGGGTCATTGCTGCCTATTCCGCAATTGGAAACATGTCATGGATGGCTAAATGATCATTTCTCGAGCTTCAAGAAATGGAAAGCGGAATTCCGGAATTTGTGCACAACCGTAATGATTAGGATATGCAGGAGCTCCGGGTCATTCCATATAGATGCAATTCCGGAATTCAAAGGGGAATTGTATCTATATTTGTATCCCAATGTTAAGTAGAACACGAATTCACGTACCTATGCAAGAATATGCAGCAATATGCACGAATATGCACGAATGTGCAGGAATGGGCAGGAATGGGCAGGAAAGGGCAGGAATGTGCAGAAATGTGCAGGAATATGCACGAATGTGCAGGAATATGCAGAAATGTGCAGGAATATGCACGAATGTGCAGGAATGGGCAGGAATGTGCAGAAATGTGCAGGAATATGCACGAATGTGCAGGAATGTGCAGGAATTGCTGGTCATTCGATATCGATGCAGTTCCGGAATTTCAAAGGGGAATTGCATCTTTATTTCTATCGTAATGTTAAGTAGAACATGAATACAACTACGTATGATAGAATATGCAAGAATATGCACGAATGTGCAGAAATGTGCAGGAATGTGCAGGATTGTGCAGGAATTCCTGGTCATTCCATATAGATGCAATTCCAGAATTCAAAGGGGAATTATATCTATATTTGTATCCCAATGTTAAGTAGAACATGAATACATGTACCTATGCAAGAATATGCAGGAATGTGCAGGAATGTGTTACTTTGCGGAATAGGATGACTGCTCAAAAAAATGAAACATAAAACAATGTTTGTATCGTCTGAGTAAACATATAGATACAGTTTTTATCTAACTTAATAGATTACAGTCTATGCGTAGTTGAAAGATATTTGTTGAAACTGAAAATAGTTTTCTGTATATTAAAAGAAAACGACAAATTTCTTCGGCAAAGTGTACATGATACACTTCGCTTGTTGAAAAAAGTGGATAGTAGTGCGTATTTTAGAAGTAGCAGATATTATGTACATTTTGCTTTCAGTGTATACCCTTGCTGGTTATGTCAAGAGAGACGACTCCCGTCGTATGCATATTCTCTTCTTCTTTTTCAATTTATTTTTGATTTATATATTTACCAAAGAATTTTTTTTTCCATACAACTAATTATTTTTTTATTCACTTTAATTTCCGTTTTGTTCGAAAATTTACTGAGTATTGAACAAAGATTTTAGATAAGTAATAAAATCTTATAA